CTGAGGGATTATAATAGCACTCTTGTGGTTTCCACTCCCCTTTGTCAAGAATCCTCTAGTCAACACTCTTCAACTTATCCCAACTTGAGTGTGCCATTAAGAACTCTTAAAATAAAAAAGAAACAAAATCTTATCTCAATGCAGCAAGAAATATTTTAGAAAAGTACAAAACTTTAATCTACATGAAAAGTTCCTTTAAACTGTTACATCTATTCTCTTCCATGAGTCACAAATCATGTTTATCAAATATTATTAAAGGAGTCTAAGAAATGATAAACAGAATGAATAAATGATACAAATAGTACTCTAGATTTTTTTTTAACAGCATTCTGCTCCTAACTAACTACATTAGCAAAAACTGCCATCATACTTGTAATAGAGTATGCGACCTTTGTACTTTTCTAAGATACAGCACTGAGAAACAAGAATCCTAAAACCCTATAGTACTGCCATCTATGAATCAACTTCTAACTAATGATCCACAGAGTAAAAAAAAAAAGAGATATAAGAATTATATAGCGGGTGTTGTAGCTCAGTTGTAGAGTGCTTGCCTACCATGCATGAAGCCATGCTCAATCCTCAGCACTAGAAAAAAAGAGAAAGAAATATGGCAAGAGTAACAAGTTTCAAAAAAGCAGATGTGCCAGCGAGGTGGGGTATCTATCTGGTCCCAAACATATTCTCTCCTACCTCCCTTATTGCTGTTTCTTGTCTAACCTCCAGCCTATCCTCACCATATAGAAAATAAGGCAAAACACACTCAAGCACTAGAAGGCTGAATTTCATCTTCTAGTAGGATTTATCAAAAGGTATCAGGCAAAGGGACTGCTTAAAAATATATGACTTTGGGTAAATCATTCTCTTCAATGTGTTTTATATAGTTATAAAAATAAATACATTCAAATTTTAAGTTAGTATGTGTGCAAATGCTTTTTTAAATTAAAGGAATACAGCATCTACCAGTTAAAATTGATACTGTCAGTGTCTATTCACTAATAGGAAAAAAAATGTCTTTATGCAGTTTAAAAAAAAAAAAAAAAAACCAGGGGCTGGGGTTGTGGCTCAGTGGTAGAGCGCTCGCTTAGTATGCATGAGGCCCTGGGTTCAATCCTCAGCACCACATAAAATATTGTATCCAACTAAAAAAAAAAAAAAAAAACTCTGAAAAAAGTGAAACTTGTAATATGATTCCATTTTTAAAAAGCATGAGAATTCAACTATTCAGAGATGAAAAAAATAAAATTTATCAAAACCTACCTGCTTATTCCTGCATAAAGAGATTTAAGTGATTTTTATTTTCTTCTGATTGCCTCTATTTTCTGTGATAAACATGTATTGCTTTTTAAAATATTTTTAATTTTTTAGTTACAGTGGGACACAATACCTTTATTTTATTTACTTATTTTTATGTGGCGCTAAGGATCAAACCCAGGGCCTCGCCGGTGCTAGGTGAGCACTCTACCACTGAGCCATACCCCAACCCCATATTGCTTTTTTGATAAGAAAAAATACTTTTAAAATAAAGGAAGTTGCTGAGGACAAAAGAGTGCCTTGCAAATATAAAGTATGATTAATAACAAAAAAGTAAGAATTACAAATTTGAAGCCCAGGGAGAAAAGTTATATTTGAGTAGGAGCTTTTCTGGAGATTTCTCAAATCATGTAATCTGGTCTTTCTATGGTACATCTAGAGATTGGCAGGATCCTTTAAAAGCAGGCAACCAGAGGTTCTCTCTCTCAGTGTATTGAATGTATATATTTTGCAAAACCAAACTTGTCTTTGACTTTGTCTATCATTCTCCTCCTAAATTCTCATCACTGTGTGATCATCTAAGCTGGAATCAAGAAGTAGGTAATATTTGTTACCTGTTACTAACTCACCTTATCCTATCACCTGTCTCTATTATTCCATTCTTTTATTACCTCTGAAATTAGACTGAAGGTTTTTCATCACCTGGAGCCTCCCACTTTATTTTCACACAGGGAAAATCCCAAATCTAGGAGGTCTCCTTCACAACCCAGGAGCTTTCTGGAAGGCAGTCATAGCTGTTCTGCTTTTGCCCTTTCATACTTGCTAAGAATTGCACACTCCTTCCTAAACAGAAAAGAGAGGAAGCTGCAATAGTGCAGCATCTGGACTAGCAAAAATTGACTCAGACTAACCAGGGTAAGAGGACAAGGGTGGAAAGGCTGACAAAGTGAGTCTTATGGTAAGTATCAATGAAAGGGTACTAATGAAAGACAAGGAAAAGAAGAAAATACAGGAGAATAAACAATGTCTCCCACGACCATGAACCTCATAATTAATCACCAAAGAAACATTACAAAGACCCTGAAGTGAAGGCTAATATAATATAATAGCCTCTTTCCAAAGCAAGCTAGACTATTCTAACACTGGAACCTTTTCAAAATTTCAGTTAATAGACTGCAGTAAAGCTACTCCTCAATGCATTTACCTTGGCATGATGTAGATCAACACCGTACATGGAAAGCCTCTTTGCATTTTCTAAGAACTGAGAATCAGCTTGTGCTGGAGATAACCCCCTAAGAATGAAAAGAAACAGCATTGTCTTACTGGTAGATGAAAAATAAATGCATTCAAAATGGGGGAAAGGATGTGTGATCTTGGAGTGTTTGGGTTAGAGGCAGTAATGCAGCTAAATTTGCCGAGACATGGGGAACAGGTAAGGAGATTCATCTCTGAATCTCTAGCATTTCCTCAAGATTTTCTAATCTTAACTGACTGTCTGCAAGGAGGCACATGTCCATCCTTGTCCTTTTTATCTTAAAATGATGCTTTTGATTATTTCCACTAAGGGAAAAAGCTCTAGGAATAACAGGCACAACATAAGTTAACTGAGAATAAAATATAGTGAATAGACTATTTTTAATTCCTCAGTTTAATTTTGCTAGACTTAATCATAAGACAGACCAGAATTACTTGTATTTGACTTTATACCTATGATAAATAACACATCATATTCTGTCCACACTAATATTATTTTCATTCCAAAATTATTTCCATTCCATCCTATTTCCCCAACTAAACAAGTTTTAAGCTTCTGGCAGACAAAACTAGGTCCCATGAGTCTTCATATTACCCATGGCATTTTAGTACCTGGTACTCTATTGTCTATTGAATAGAATGCAAATAAAATTCACAAGAAAATATTTAGAGTCAAATACTCTATCATTTTTTTGAAGCAAAGTCATGAATGTGGCCCATTTAAAACTTCTCAGTCTCTTAAAGTTCCTTTCAAATTATTTCACTCACAATTTTAAAACTAGTTTTACAACATAAAACAATTTATAATTTTATAGCTAGAGTTATAAAAACTAGTGTAAATAGCCATTGTCTTTTTGCACATATATATTCTTACTCCAAATGTATATGCTATTAAGTTAAGTAATCCTTACTTAAATTAAAGGGCGACATCTGTGGATCATGGAATCATGGTACACCTTCAGTTACTATTCCTACATCCATCATCACCCACACTTTTACTCAAACCCCAAGGACTCATTATTCCCCGGGCTTTCTTATCAAATACAGTAATAAAAATAATTGAAAGGGAAGAAATGTAAATGCCAACAATATGTGGGTATATTTGCTTCCTGTACATATGCTAAGGGATAAAACTGGGGAAAGAGACAAGAAAATGTCACATGGAAAAGTACATTTTTACCAAAAATAAAGGCAATTTAGTTTCATGTACACAACTCTCATATTATATAGTCATAAAAACACTGAAAGAATATCTCAAAGGTTACAGGTTGTCTTGATGGGTCTGGGTGACGCTCCAAAAGGAAAAACTGGATAATCCCAGAAACCATGCTCAAATAACCAGCCAGGGTTACAAAGACAAACTATTTAAATCTACCATGGCCAATCTCTCTCTAGCAAAGAGATAACTACAGACCTGTGGGTTTTATGCAGCTCTGCCACCTTCTCTTCCAGTTCCTTAGTCTGTGTAGGGGCAAACTGGAAGTCACTGAGGTCAATACTGCTGTGCTCTTTTGGGTCATAGTCTCCAAGCTCAGCCTGCAATGTGTAGGAGCCCAGGAGGGCATGAGTCACAAATGAGCAGGGCAGGCGGCCAGAGGCAATGTCTTTTCGAAGCTGAAGGCACAAAAAGTATCTGTGAAGAAGAGCAAAGGGTCACAGAAGAATAACTAGTTAACCCTGAAGCACTCATAATTCCTTAAATTCTACTATTTCTTTGAAAATAAATATATACTATATACATTATATTCATATCCACAGCACAAATAGTCCTCTCTGATAAAAAGCCTCACCTTGCTCTTCGGACTTCTAAATATTTAACTTATTTATGGAAGTCTAATTAAGAGAAGAAAAATTCTGAACGGCTGTTCTGGTAAATTCTGGTAAGTTTACAATAACTACTACAATAAAGTTAAAAATTCAATCACTTCAACTGTCTCCTTGGATTTAAAACTGTAATAAAAATGAGCACACTTCCTAAAAGTTGTAAAGATTAATGCAATATCAAAAAAAAAATCGCTGCAGTCTAGTATTTGCAAGAAAAGCTAATTTCACCCACTCTTGACCATCTCTACCCATTTCCTATTAATATCTCATATTCCTTTTTTCCTGAGATGCCTTTAATATCAATTATAATTAAATCTAGTTTGAAGCCCTTACTTGACCACTCATTTAGAAGCAGCTAGCCCAGTAAGTCAGATAGCTGACTTCATGTGACCTTGAGCTAATCTGCTGCTTATAAAATGGGACAAACTCTACCTTCCTTTGAAAGTGAGGGTAAAAATTAAATATTATAAAGAAAATACTTGGCATGGTGCCTGAATCAATAACTAATAGTTATAATAACAAGAGCAATTCTAATGCTTCAAGTGGCTTACTACACAGTTATAAGAGAATCTTTGCTTTCCACTAAATTAACATGAAAAAACATGTGATACCTATTTTATGGGGATCTTTCTTCTTTTCAGCCCCGCTATCAATTCCTTTTGGTGAGATCATAAAACTGGATTTCTCCTCTCAAATTTCACCTCTTGCTAAGGTCACCTCACCATTGAGCCCTCTGAAATAGATGGCAGGGCCCTCATTCTTGAAGATTTTTTTTTTTTTTAAGAGACTATCATTCCTGCTGGCTACTGGCTACCTTTTTTCTGTGATCATGTTTGCCTGGCCAGGTTTTAGAGTCCAAGACTCTTCCTAAGTTCTACCTGACAGGTTCAGGAGTGGTGGCTTCTGGGCAGGTATCTGTTCATGAGTCAGAGACCACATCCCACACCACACAGTTCCAGTTCAGTTACACCTGAATTGCCACCCAAATCTACCACTGGGCAGGGATAGATCATCATTGTGGTCCCACAGTTAGCAAATCAAGTACTCAATAATTTCCTGAAAATAAAAAGTCTTCTCATTAGTCCTGCAGTCTGAGTATTTTTATTCATTGTGTAAGTTCTCTTTTTAAGGATGATTATGTTTCCTTGACCTATAGAAAATATGATCACAACTGCACCTACTTTAGAAAACTAAATCTTAAACTATGATGCCAGGTTACCCTCAAATTCTTAATCAGTAATACACAGAGCTAGTTCTACACATTTTGTGGTACTTTGAGACCTTAATACAAAGATTTCATCCTGCTGCTTCTTTTTATATTATTGTCACTACTTTTCACACTGGTCCTTTCCTCTGTTTTTAAAGTCTTAAGTCCTAAAAACTTCAAATAAAAATCAGCAAGAGCTAGCACAGAAGATTCTATTATTCCTCCCACCAGACAGGGAGAAATGTTTAAACCCAATTTATATGTAAACCCAAAGTAATGAAGTTACAATCACCAAAGGATTATCATCCCTCAAACAAATTACCGCAAAAAGGAGTGTACAGTTTGGGTCCCAAAGTCGCATTATGTACATTCTTCAAAGGCACTCCCCTGCAGTGAAGCTTCTGTACCCTACACACACCAACCTATCCAGGTTAATGCTTCAAGCAGCTTGCTGTGCAATTACAGAAGCTACTATTTATTATTTACTAGCTAAAGCTACTTTTATCAGAACTAAATTAATAGTAATTAATTTGGTATACTGGTACATTCCTATTCAGCAACAAGTAATACAAAATGAAGAAAAGGCCTGTTATTTTTATAACATAGAAAAGAAACTTCCACCATTCCTACCTCACATGGATACTACACATTTTAAGCATCTATACAACTTGATGTTCAACAACAACAATAAAAAACTAGGCTAGCAGAGAACATCAAAGGCACAGAACCCAGAGAGATAAGCAGTCTTTCACTAAGACCCTCTTGTTTTCTAAATAGTACAAATGCTATACAATTTTCCTTAGCCATGTAAATAACCTTTTTAAAAATATATAAGAATCATCCCTTTATACTTATTTGCAGGGGGCGATAGTGGGTGGTTGAACCCTGGGCACTTAATGACCAAGCCACATCCCCAGTCCTCTTTTACTTTTTATTTCCAGACAGGGTCTCACTAAGTTGCCAAAGCTGGCTTTGAACTTGTGATCTTCCTGCATCAGCGTGTGTCCAGCCCTTTACACTATTCTTAACAAACCTAAGAAACTTCATCATTTACTACCAATCTAGCAGGGCTAAGATGTCAAGGCACTTGCTGATTCACTGTCCTTAGATGCCACTCTCAGGATCAGTAAATGTTCTCTTGCTCTTGAATGACCCTTTACTTGCAATTTAAGCATATGTTCTTATAGTCCACATAATCTTCAAGGAAATGGAAAGAAAATGGCGATTGCCTTTACATACTGTTAGTTCTATCTGGGGCAGGGAAATAGGGGAGGTAGGAGGACAAACAAAACTACCAGTTCAACTGACTTTTTAAAATAATTTCATTCATTTACCCTTATATCATCTTTATAATAAGAGAGAAGTACACAGGCTCATATAATAAAAACCACGTCAGTATTAAAATCTAAAATACTGAACATCAGTGTCTTTGTAAAAGCATATAATAGAATCTGTTGTGCTAACTGAAGGCCTCAGGGGCACAGCTGAGATCAGACGCTTCCCTAACTTGGGGCCTGGCAGTCTAAAAGTGATTAGGTCTTTAACATTTAGAAGGTGGGGTAGCTTTTGAGGAGGCCAAGAAAACCATTCAGAGATTATGTGGACTGGAAGAACATATATTTAAATTACAAACAAAGTTGCCAGCAATACCATTTTTAAAAGTATTTTATTACTTAAAAGGGAGAACTAAAGAGAAGTAAACACGATTTTTGCAACTGGCAACATTTCAAAACTATTTAGGAAAGGACCCATTTCCAAGAAAATTTCTAAAACCCAACTTACTAAAACTTTGCTTTAATGTTCAATCCTGAGATTACTACCATGATTCCACAGAGCACAGAAATAAAGGACAGCTCTCAGATTCATTTTAATATGCAAATATAAAATACCTGGTGATATCTTCAGTCAACTGAGAAGGATCAGGAGGATAAAATTTCACATTAAAAGTAAACAGCCAAGGAAGATCTGCAATTATTAAACACCACGGTTATTTACCCAAATACGAGGATAACTATTTAAGATGATACAGCACAGACTCATTTCAGTATAAATCAATTTGTAGAATTGTTTAGAAGAATATCATTCATAAAACCAAAATGAAACAAAAAATAAAACAAAAATCAATTATATAAATAAACCACTATTAAAGAATAAGTTCACTTTCTCATAAGTGTTTATTAGTATATCAACAAATGTTGTATATGGTGATCCATTACATAAATAATTAAATATAACCTCCATGTAATAGTTCTGAGATGAAATCTGTTTTAACCAGAGGATCTTCAGCAGCAAAATACTCTCCATCCACTTAGAAGGGGGGGGAGGGCAGTTTCCCTACATTGTTGGGGGGGAAAGGAGTAGAAGCAATCACAACAACTATTCAGGAAATGATTAAAGATTTAAAGGAAGTGTTCAAAGAGATCCCAAGAAAGGGAAAGCATGGTAAACGGTGAAACACTTTAAGAGAATAAAATTATTTCTCAGTTTTTGTAGAGTAAGCACATATTTTTATATAACATACACTGGGCCATAAAGATTGAGTGTGTTGCCAAGCACAACAGTACATGCCTATAATCCCAGCCACTTGGGAGGCTGAGGTAGGAGGATCGCAACTTCTAGGCTATGCTCAGTAACTTGGTAAGACTGTCAGGAACTCAGTGAGATCCTGTCTCAAGAATAAAAAATAAAAAGCACTGGAGATATAGTTCAGTGGTAAAGTGCCCCTGGGTTCCATCACCAGTATCAAAAGAAGGAAAAAAAAAGAATGCTTGTCAAACAACTATATCATGAAAGTTACTAAAAGTAAAAACATTGCTATTTACACATTAATTTATATTTTGCTATATCACGTTTTGGTTTGATCAGGAGCAATAAAAGGGAAAAGGGAGAAGGCAGATATTTTCTTCCTAAAATGACCCAAATTAATTCCACTAGCCTGAATGTACAATTCAGCTCCAGGATCATAGCATTTTCCAACAAAAACAGGAAAAAGTTTTCTCTCTGTGTATAATTTATTTGAGGCCCTCAAAGGACCTTTAATTTATGGACTTGAAAATTTTTTGAATTCCATTCTCTTGTTCAACATATTCTATTGTCCTCTGTCATCATTAGCACATTATCTTCTCTCTCACTCAATGGCTACTACATATATACGTTACTTCTGTTAGATTTTGGCTCAATACATCGTTATTCCACTAATAAAATCAATCCTGCTGAACTCCAGAAACAGATTTCAGTTCTGCTTTACACATTTAAAACACGGTAAATTAATATAATCTTCATAAATATGAAGAAACATGATGTTCCAATGCCTATAGCGCTGTGTCAAACACAGTCCACACATTATGCACATGCACTTTTCTGAGGTGACTGCTAATCCATAATCAAGCAAAGTCATCACTGGATTATCTTTTCTTAATAGTCCCTTGTTTATTTGTTTTCTGGGTATTAACATTAGCATATGCTTGCCTGGATATGACTACAGGCATGTTTCTATTAAACTTATATTTGAGGATATACTTCCAAAACCCATGAATACTCAATTTATTTTAATTGAAAAAATTGTACATTTCTATGGTGTACAATATATTTGAAATGTATGTACATTGTGGAATGGCCAAATCAATTCAATTAACATATATATATAACCTCATATAATTATATTTTATGGTAAGAAAACCTGAAAATCACCAATAATAAATTAAGTTAAATTTTAATTCAACTATGAATTACTCTGGTTTTACTAGCTACACATATACAGTTCAGCTAATTATGGATTATTTATATATATTAGTCACCTATAGGCCTTACATATATAGGCTTCTTTGTATACATTTGAGAAAATAAAGTTTGTTTATTTTTGCTTTTGTTTTGGGGGGATAGCCAGAGATTAAACTCAGGGATATTCGACCACTGAGCTACATCCCCAGCCCTATTTTGTATTTTATTTAGAGACAGGGTTTTGGTGAGTTGCTTAGCGCCTCAATTTTGCTGAGGCTGGCTTTGAACTTTCAATTTTCCTGCCTAAGCCTCCCTCGCCACGCGGCCACACCCATGGAGAAAAAGATTTTTTTAAAGGTAAAATTTAAATAAGAATCAATAAGTTTTTGGTTGTCAAAAGTAACCCAAAGATTAATATTTATCTTTTCAAACAGCCTGTTAACTGTAAAGGAACAATAAAATCATCATAGAGACTGGGCTAATAGAACAAGTTGAAAGAAGAGTTCTTTCGCCCATCTTAACACAGGAAGAAAGAGGTCAATAAATAATCAACATAGGAACATGATTCATAATCAGGACAAGTCTTACACTCTAAAAGTTTTCCAAAGACTTTTTCTGGAAAGTTTCTTTCAAAAATTTTGAAACTTTTTGAAAGTTTTCTTTCAAAAGATTACCAACAAGTAATATCTATGACTCTAAAATAGTGATACACACATAATCAAATGAGACCCAAAATAGGCATCAACTCAATGGAACATCAATCATATTTCAAAGATTGTCCTTTTTCTGTCTGGGTCACCTGACAGGTTGGGTTTCAAAGAAAGTGGAAGAACCAAGCATCTATATCTTCTGAACTCTGAACTTTACAGAGCATGAAACAACTGCAGTACAGTTTCTTCCATGATATCAGTGTAATTTATCTACTTATTCCTCCCCTCCTTTCCATCATGAAACAAACACAAATGGGTAAAACATCAAGATAATACATTAAAAACAGAGAAAAGGAGAGAGGAAATGAATGTAAAAAAAGCCAAGAACAATAGTCAAAAGACAGAGTGGCCAACCATGCCAGAGAGCCTAGGACTGTTCCAGTTTTAGCATCAAAAGTCCCACATTCTAGGGCACACCTCAGTATTGGCAAGTCAGGAACTCTAACCAAAGACATTTTTTTTTAATGAAAAATAAAGGCTATAAATATATCTGTCTAAAAAAGGGAGACAAAATGAGGGCAATAAGGTTCAAATGTAAAAAAAAAAATACAGAAAGAAATGATAGGAAGACTAACAATTAGGAGTGAGAAAGAAAATAAATACGGAGACAGAGGTAGATGGAAAGGGCAAGATGGGAAGCATAGATTTGTTCCTGGGTTTTGACATGAAATAATAAATAAGTAGGGATGTATAATCAATAGTGCAGGTCACTTTGCAGTTAGTTTTCAAGAAAACAGCTTCTCCCTGGAGAGCTCTGGGGCCCAAAGTCTTAGAAGGGCTATAAGGCATTTACCACTCTTCACATTTTGTTCTCCAGTCTAAAACATTCCAGCTACTCACGATTCCTTGCCTTCTCTGCTCAGTCATTCACAGACCCTGAAGTAAACCAAGTATCCAAATGCCCTATCAGAGATTTCTCTGTGGTGCTAATATTTCTTGGCACAGCTATCACAAGCAAAGCAATTTTCCGAGCACAGCCTCAAGGGAGCTGAGGCTGGTTAGAGTGGGCATGGGAAGTCATCTGGGGATTCCACAGTGAAAAAAAAGGGGCAGTGGGAAGACAGGAACAAGCAGGCCTAACCACAAACCCAGACAGAAAGAGCACTTAAGTGCCTTGGGCTGTGGAATGGAGGGAGCAAGCAAGAGGCAAAGACTCAGAGAACTGAAAAGATGGTCCTGACTGACTTTCACCCCTGAAATCCTCACTCCAGTGCACCTAGGAATATGTGCCTGTATGCCTCTGGGGCTTCCGATATGCTTACCATTAAACCACACACTTCCAAAATGCAATGGACAAGGCAATAGTATCAGGTCTATCTACAGTAAACCTTCCCAAAGTGAAATCTGCAGAAAAACAGCCTCTCATTCTTTCCCAGAAATAAAGGGTGAGATGTTGCCTTATACTGGTAAACACTGAAATGGTATGTGCAAGAATGTTCATCTGTAGCCTCCTGAAAGGTAGGAGTTCTAAGCCAAAGACAAAATAAACAGTCACAATTCTACAAATATATCATTAACATTGCCTTCTAAGATGGTATAAAATAGAACTCAACATTCTATTCCGTCTTATTATTCCAATCTGAGTCCCTATAAATTTTATTAAAGATGGAAAGAGATAGATAGAAAGATTTAACTTAATAACTTTAAAGTATGATTATTTAAATACTCACTTCGCAGTTGTCTCTTTATTTCTTTTGCAGGATCTAGCCAGTTCTGCAGAAGGGAGGAAAAAGGATTAATTATGCATAAGAAATTTCCCAGAAATCAAAATGGAATAGTTTACAATTCACAACTTAAGTACAAAAACATCTTAAAATATTTTAATTCAAAGCAGGTTTCACCTACTAGCATTCCCTTGGGCTAACTACTGATTTGGTTTTGTGTGTGTGTGTTAGAAACATATCTTTAAATACTTTTAAAGTGAATTCCAGGAGTCTCACACTCTTGGATCTGAAAACATTTATTCAAATAATGAGAAATAATTTATGTACATGTAAACTTTACAGAACTAACAGCAAATAGCCCATGTGGACACAATCACCTCAACTTCTAAAGCCAGGGCCTCCTTTAGCCTCATCTCCCCTGCAACTGTACCATGTTAATGAGAAATATCACCAGATTAGAAACAATATTTTCCTTCCTGGCCTTCATATAACATCCTTTCTTCTTTTAAACTTCATTCAAAGTTGGAAATTGAAATCATAAGGAACTCACTTTCATTTGCCCCTCACTTCTGCTCTTTGAGAAAGTTGACAGAAAAGGACAGAAAACCACTACAATACCATAAAGTAAAAAAGATCAAATTTGAACCACCAGGTTCAAATCTCTTGGACACGAAATGTTTCAAAGCTGTAAGCAAAAGATCCTTGCAAAAATTTTTAAAGATATATTTTATTTACATTTTATATGTCTCCCACCCTATTCTGAAGTCATTATTGAAGTTCATTTACCTTACTAATATACAAAGTACATTTTTCAGATATAATAAATTACATTTAACATCTGTGCTTAAACAGAATTTTATTCAGATATATAAGGCAAACAAAATGCTTATTATGACTTAGGAAATAAAAAAACTACTGTCTTAGAAACATTTTGAAATGGTACAACAGAACACGACCTTTCACTGTTAAAAATAATTACAGTAGTATACTTTAAAAGCAGAACTGTGTAAACCCCCTCAGATTTTACTGCACTGTTCATGGCCAGCACTCCAAGCAGCAAGGACCCAAGGTGTACATGGCTCTGCTCTAACAGTGGTGATATTCAAATCTCTCAATAAAGAGCCACTACAGCATGGTCTAGTTTCATATTATTGGTGTCCCAGCTGTATGGACTATTGATAGGAAGGGCCAGTGGGACCCTCTAATGGTACCTCCAGTGCCATGTTAGGGAGTAGCTCTAATTCTCCCAAGAAAAGAGCCTGGCACTCAGCTTCCATGCCCTGCAGCTGCTGTCCCACACAACAGCTGGCTTACAAATGCCAGCTATGATGAGTGCCCCAAAATGAGAAAAACACATCATTCAACTTCTAGCCCAGACTGGACTGAGTCCGAGGGAGAGGTGTGGGAGGGTCAATTGTGTGGCACTTTTATCCAAGAAAGCAACAATCATACCAAGAAAAACTGAAGCAGAGACGACTGGTGCCAAATTGAAAAGGAAAAATAAATTCCTCAGACCATTAACAAAGATGAGGAGAAAAAGCAGAGAGAAAACTTCTGGTCTTGAAGACAGATCCTCCCATATCTCCAGTCTCATTAAATGTGAGTTGATATAGAGATGTGTGTGACAGAACAGCAAAACATTTCTGTGTCCCACAGAAGACAGCAAAGGCAACATAGCATTTTGGACCTCCAAGAACTAACCCTGTGCCTCAGCCATCTGACTCTCACCTAAAGCACCAACCCCTTGTACAAATACCTGACAGTTACTGCAGAACATGATGAAAATCAGTAGAACCCTAAAACATGAGTGACAAGTCCACTAGCCAAATTTAAACTCTTATCCTCAGACCACTTCCTATAAGACTAACAGCCATGATATATTAAAGGCTGATTCGGCTTCTTTTCCTATTTTGGACCTCAAAGTATAAGGTAAGCCTGTTTACCCTATGTAACCAAGCACAGCAGAAGTGACTCCTTCCATTAACCTCCCTGGTTTTCCTTTTCCTAACTACATTAGCTTCCATACTGCAAGCCCCATTCCTCCCAAGGAGTAAAGGAAGTCTTCCCTCTCCCTAGGACTACCTTTGTAAAAGCTGGGAAAGACTAACCATATTATTAGGTACCCTCCAGGGTGCTTGGCAGTTTTAGGCAACCAGTAAGTACTAAATGAATACCTGCTGACTGCTATCTGCACGTTGCCACCACCTCCTTCTCCATGCTGTGGTCATCTTAAATGATCATAACTTACATTAGGTTATTAATGTATTTTTATTTGAATTGTTATCTCTAAGTACTTAGATAATGTTTGGTGTATAAATTTTCTGCCTAGCATCATAAATTCACAAATAAAACTAACATTATAATATTATAAAAAATACATATTTGTTTTACCTGGATTACCCATTGCAAATAAATATGCATAAGCAAACAAATAAACAAAGTTTTTTTCACAAATAAAATAAATTTTCCAGGTTTAACACTTGAGAAGACTGGGTGGGCCAAGCAGCAGACACAAATAGATGGACAATGACATTGGAGAATGAGATAAATGATAGGGAGCCATGCATGTTTATATACACACTCCTCCACCCCATGACACATCATGGTGCATCATCACCGTGTTTTAGATTTAAAGATATGGCTACTACAGCCATAAATAGAGACCTTGGACTCAGAAAGACAGAGTCAAATTCTGTCCTTTTTTGAGGATACTGGGGATTGAACCCAAGGGTGCTTTACCACTGAGTCACATCCCCAGTCTGTTTTATTTTGAGACCTGTGTCTAAGCTAAGTTGCTTACAGCCTTGGTAAGTTGCTGAGGCTGGCTTTGAACTTGGAATCCTCCTTCCTAAGCCTCCTGAGTCACTGGGATTATAGTCATGCACCACCAGGCCCGACCAAAGGTTTTCTATAGAATATGACTTGGGCACATTCCTTCATTTCTCTAAGTCTCAATTTCCTCAAATGCAAAATGGGGATCACAACATCTAGCTGATAGGGTAGCTCTTTTCAACCAATAATTCATTTAAATGCCTCCTGAAGATTAAACATGCATGCCTTTTAAAAGGCTTAACCGAAGTATCTTTACTAACTAGATCAGGACTTTTGTTGCTGTTTTGTTTGCTTGGGGAGTTTTGGCAATAATAAAACTAAATTAGTTTATCACCTTTTGGTATATATCCCCTTTCACTAGTCTAAGTGCTTCTATATACATGTTATAGAATCATCTAGCTCAGTTTTCCAGATTTTGCCAGATGATGAGGACCTATCTATCAAAAGATAGACTCACCCATAGCCCACATAGAACATCCTAAATGGAAGAAGTCTGAGCATCTCTATTTTAGTGATAGTTCCAGGAGATATGTGCTAAAGCAAAATTAGCATTTTCTTAGTTCTTCCTACTTCCAGGTACAATATGGCAAAACTCAGAAGAGCTGAAACCCATGCATATTTCAATAAAATTTATCTTGGTTTAATAAAATTATAATACTTTCCTCAACTACTTAAAGGCAGGAACATCCCACTCAATTTGGTGGCCTTCTCGTCACCTTCCCTTGTCTTTCCTACTCCAAACCCAACATATAAACCCAAGAAATATTTATCTTCTGAACAAACATCAAGTAAAATAAGAAATTAATAACAGTTTCAAGGAATCCTCTAACAGGTTTCCAAATAAACAAACTAAAAACCCAGTCCTAGAATATCAGTATTATTAAAATCACCTTAGAACATGAAATCAGGAGGTATTGAACTCACCCTGGCAGGGTGGGGAGTTACATCTTTATTCTTACTAACTTCTAACTGAAATTTAACATTATCACCTATTATGAATATACTACCAAAAAAAAATGTGGTTAACATCAGCAGGATGACTATCACCCATAAAAACATAAATTTTTTCTATATCATATTATAGTAGCTGCAGATCTCAAAAATATCATTTATGCTAACAAATATTTTGAAATCATAGAAGATAACTGGGTAATGATGAATTAATATTAATTAAAACATGTACTTTATTCTAAATTTCTTATTAATATTTTGAGAAATATTTACTACTTTCTTTGTAGTCCTGTGTACTTTATTATAATTACACATTTAAAACACTATTCTGAGAAGCAGCCCTACAGAATTTACCAGACCAAAGGAATCCATGACAAAAAAAAAAAAAATTTAAAACACCTGCCTTCAAAGGTTATAAAAATGTTTAACCTGAAAGCATAATGAGTGGCTGTGCATATATGTGCTTTTACTCTAAAGTCCTTCTATTGGTTGACTAGAAAAACTCCTTAGCCCAACTCTTAATCCTATACATATTTGAGGATGAAACAGTCTTAGCTAACCAAGTCTTCAGACTTTTCCCTACAACATTTTCAATGTGTCCTCTGAAAATCATGTTGAATACCTTTTCTATTATCTTCTAATGACAGAAACATCTATAAAAAATAAAAGCTTGATTATGAATCATAACATGATTCAGAGGATGCCATTGATGGAAAGAACCTCAAAGAATTATGGTCCAAATTTCCATACAGAACAGGAATGGCCATAAATATTTGTGTCACTTCTGGGATTCCAAACAATATGGGGGTATTAAGACCCCCAACTCTCTTGGTATTTGTGACCTTTCAAACTCCTATAACTCTCTGCTACCTTAAAAGAACATTTTATCCCCAGATCAATGCTTTTCACACTCAAAGGTATATAAGTAAGAATCATCTGAAAATCTAGTCAAACTCTAAGTTCTAATTCAGTAGATGTAAGTTGAAGGCCTACCACTCTTCATTTCTAACAAGCTCCTAGGTAGTGCCAAAACCACTTGCTGGTCCTTGAACTACCCTTTGCGTAGTATAGTCCTAAATTTCTGTGCATATAAAAATTCCTTTCTTTTCCTGAAAGTCGACTGTAGAGACATTTTTAATCTTCTAGATAGACACTAAGCCTTCACAGAGAAATCAGTGTAATTGCTGACAGCTTTCTGAAGAAAGCTCTAGCAGGGCACAGATTCCAAACTTTAAGTGTTTCTTTGAACTCCTTCCCATCTCACTA